TTCTGCATGTGTGAAGTCAATGATGTTGGGGGAAAGGGAGAATACTAATATTCTAGAAATAGGAAATTGATTGGCCATCTTTTCTTTTGAAATTCCACATGCGGTTATCCATGCCAAAAAAAAAAAAAAATTCACCAAATTTCAAGTTAGCTGAGAAGGAATCACGCGCAATAAGTACATTTAAAATAAAATAAAATATAGGGCTTTGAAATGAAGTGAGGATATAAAACCCTCTCTAGAGTTTAATTAATTCAACAACCATCTTAGTGATGTTTTTGGTTGCAATCAACCTCTTTGATGTATTATTTATGATCCCAAAATGCTCTAGAAAATAGTAGCTATATATGTGATGACATATCTTCCTGATCGGACTTGGAATTTTCTGTGTTTTTAATGGCATTTTAGTAATTACGATTAAGGTTTTACTAGGAAATAAATTACGGTGATTGATTGCTATCGAAAACCTTTGAAATTGGTTTCTACATTAAGTGAACTTTAAATGTGGTTTTTGTATTATCAACATATTTCTAAAGGTGGTTTTTTTTTTAATTTTGAAAAAACTAGCAATTTGTTTTAAGCAAGTACATAGGCCAAAGGCCTATGATATATATTTATACTAATCAATGTGAATAGGTTGAGTACCCAAGAGTCACCCTCACTTAATGGGGTGTTACATCACCATAATGGGGTGTGAATGGAGGGATAATGAGGGGGAGGCCAAAGGCCTCCCTCATCTCATAATACTCCCCCTTATCCATCCATTACCTTGAGTTTAGCTTATGAACACTTCAGGGTTCGTAAAGCTAATGGGGGGGATACTTCTGGATCCAGAGTAAACTTGTTTGCCTCATTAAAACCTTAGCTGTGGAAAATCCAGTGGGAAAAAACCATCTGCCTAAGGAAAAAGAGTACAACCCATAGGTTACTCCCCCTGAACCATACAAGCTTCAGGCTTGTAGGTCTTTCAGATGTCTCATCCCTATTCCTTTTACAAGTTTTACAAAAGTACATCTAGGCAGAGCCTTAGTGAACAAGTCAGCTAAATTATTACATGATTGGATCTGCTGTACTTTAACTTGCTCCTCCTCTTGAAGATCGTGCGTCCAGAAAAACTTGGGAGATATGTGCTTCGTCTTGTCACCCTTGATGAAGCCAGACTGAAGTTGAGCACCGCAGGCTGCATTGTCTTCAAATATAGTAGTTGGCTCAAGGTCACTAGTCTTCAGGCCGATAGACACTAAGATGTGCTGAATGACAGAACGAAGCCAAACACATTCTTTGCTGGTTTCATGGATCGCGAGGAGTTCGGAATGGTTGGATGAGATTGCTACAGTGGTTTGCTTGACAGACCTCCAGGAGATGGCCGTACCACCGAATGTAAACACAAATCCGGTTTGTGATTTCTCGGTGTGGGGATCAGACCTGTAACCTGCATCTGAATAACCAATTAAGGTGGGAGACCCACCCTTCGGGAAATATAATCCCAGGTCTATAGACCCTTGAAGGTAGCGCAGAAGATGCTTAACTCCATTCCAGTGGCGTTTTGTGGGCGCTGCACTGTATCTGGCTAGTAGGTTAACTGAAAACGCTATATCGGGACGCGTACAGTTAGCCAGATATAATAGTGCTCCAATGGCACTGAGGTAAGGTACTTCAGGACCTAGCATTTCCTCCCCCTCTTCCAGCGGACGGAAGGGGTCGTTCTTTACATCCAATGATCGAACAACCATTGGTGTACTAAGAGGATGACATTTATCCATTCGGAAATTTTTAAGTAATTTCCGTGTATATGTGGATTGGTGTAACAGGATACCACCCTTAAGGTGTTCGATCTGTAAGCCAAGACAATACTTTGTTTTGCCTAGGTCTTTCATTTCAAAAGTATTCTTAAGGCTTTCAGATATCCCAGCGATCTCTGCAGGAGATCCAATGAGATTTAAGTCGTCGACATAGACGGCGACTATAATGAATCCTGTTCCCGATCTTTTTATAAAGATACACGGGCAGACTTTATCATTTGTGAATCCTTGCGTAGCAAGGAACTCACTTAGTCTGTTATACCACATTTTCCCCGATTGCTTAAGACCATATAATGATCTTTGAAGCCTAACAGAATAGACGTCCCGAGGTCTATCTGCTATCTCTGGTGGAATTTTATATCCTTCAGGGAGTTTCATATAGATATCTTTATCTATATTGCCATATAGATATGCAGTCACAACGTCCATGAGCTGCATTTCTAGGCCTTCCAGAGATGAGAGGCTTATTAGGAATCGGAAGGTATTCCCATCCATAACCGGAGAATATGTTTTTTCATAGTCTATTCCCGGTCTTTGGGAAAAACCTTGTGCTACAAGCCGTGCTTTGTAGCGCACAACCTCGTTGTGTTCATTTCTTTTTCTGATGAAGACCCACTTATATCCCACAGGTTTTACACCTTTAGGTGTTTGGACTACTGGTCCAAAGACTTCGCGTTTCAAGAGTGAGTCCAGCTCTACTCCTATTGCCTCGTTCCACTTTGGCCAATCGTCTCTGCGTTTACATTCCGCTAGAGACCGTGGTTCGATGTCATCGTCGTATTCAGTGACGTGAACGGCAATATCGAACGCAAAGTCGTCGTCGACGACTGTGCTTTTTCTGTCCAGTACCTCCTCAGTACGTACAAAATTTAATGATGTTTCTCCTATTTGTTCCTCTTCAGGGGAATCTAGGAGGGGAGAGGAAGCTGGTCTGAGCTCAGTATCCTGTGTTGGGTTCATTTTTATTTCTCCAGGATTTTTTCTTTTACGAGGGACTTTGTCCTTCGAACCTGGTGGGCGTCCTCTTTTCAATTGAGGTACAGCCGTTTCTGCTGCCGGCGGATTGCATCCATCTTTGGGGATGTCAATCCTAGCTGGCGTGTTGACAGCAGGGACGTGTGATCTGACAATCTTCTGGTTATCAGTGAATTTATCCGGAAGTAAATGTACTGTATTCTGAAGATGAAGAATCTTCAGGATCTCATCTTCACATTGACTAGTACGCGGATCATAATGAGACAAAGTCTTGGTGTTCCAAGAAATGGTCTTAGAAGCGTCAGGCTTCCTGGACTGTGTGCCAAGTTTAGGAAATGAATCCTCAACAAATTCACAATCATCAAGACGTGCTTTAAATGCGTCACCCGTCTGGGGTTCAAGGTATCTTATTATAGAGGGCGAATCAAACCCTATATAGATACCCAAACGACGCTGTGGACCCATTTTGGTCCTTTGTGGAGGAGCAATTGGGACGTAAACTGCACAACCAAACACTCTCAAATGTGAGATATTCGGAGGTGCACCATAAGCAAGCTGCATTGGTGACAAAATATGGCCACCAGAGGGCCGTATTCTGATAAGTGATGCTGCATGCAATATTGCATGACCCCAAGCCTCAACAGGCAACTGTGATTGCATCAACAATGGACGAGCAATCCATTGCAATCTCTTAATTAGAGATTCTGCTAACCCGTTCTGGGTGTGAACATGTGCTACAGGATGTTCAACTTCGATGCCAGTTGCTAGGCAATAGTCTTGAAAGACTTGTGAAGTGAATTCTCCCGCATTATCAAGACGTAATTTCTTGATTTGATTATCGGGGAAATGAGCCCGCAACTTAATAATTTGTGCCAATAGCTTTGAAAAAGCTAAGTTGCGGGTGGACAAAAGGCACACGTAAGACCACTTTGTTGATGCATCTATAAGTACCATAAAGTACCTAAATGGTCCACTTGCGGGGTGAATAGGCCCACAAATATCGCCATGTATTCTCTCCAAGAAGCTAGGAGACTCTAATCCCACTTTCAGAAGGGAAGGTCTCGTGATCAGTTTACCTTGGAAACAAGATAGACATGAGTAATCACCCTTCTGAAGAATCTTCAGGTTCTTCAGGTTATGTCCACTTGATTGGCTCATGATGCGGTGCATCATTGCTGATCCTGGGTGACCCAGTCTGTTATGCCAAAGTTTAAATTTCGTCGAAGAATGGCACTTCTGGTGCACAATCATGTTAGCTTTTACTGGTTGAATATATGTATGGTAGAGACCCGACGGGAGTCCCTTGAATCGTTCTAAGATAGTTTTTGAACCATCTTTTTGACGAGTTACATACAAATACTCATCCTCATTTATATCATTGGTTTCTAAGTGATATCCATTTAAACGAATATCCTTGAAACTTATGAGGTTTCTATTAGATTTCGGAGAGAATAATGCATCTTTTATTATTAGTCTCGTTTTATTTGGGAGCAATATCATTGCTTCACCAAATCCTTCTATTATGTTAGATAGTCCCGAAATCGTAATTACGGGATCGTCATAATCATATAAGCTTTTGAAATAGCTTCTTTCGCGAAGGATTGTGTGCGTCGAGGCACTATCCACAAGGCACTCACACTTCATCTATAACATGAATGCAATATTTTAATCTAAAGAAAATAACTATCTTTATTGAAAAGTAAAGTGCATTACATGGAAAGTAAAGAACTAAAGATGAAAGTACTATGAGAATTTAAATGCATATAAAGATAACATGGATCTAGTCTAGAAGATCATCCATTTTGAAGTCATCAGCAGTGAACTGAGTAGACAGCTGCTTTTCCACCAGATTTGTTTCAATAGGAGACTTCAGGCTCGCTAGATACAGATCTTGGAGGTGTCGCGGAGTGCGACAGTTTCTAGACCAATGTCCAGTCATGCCGCATCTGTGGCATTTATCCTCCCAAGTGTTCTTGGGAATGGACGTCAGCTCAGTTGTCTTCTTCTTCCACTTCTTCTTTCCCTCACTATTGCTGCTCTGGGGAGGGTTGTTTTTCTAGGGTGGACATCTGGCCTGCCACTTAGGGGCTTTCCCCTTGTTGAATTTACCCTTATGCTTTTTCTTCTGCTTCTGGGAAATAAACATGTGAGCTTCGGGTAGAGGAGCTGAGCCTGCAGGGCGTAGGTTATGAGTGGCCAAAAGCAATTCTCTGTTTTGCTCCGCCATCAGAGGGTGGAGTGCAATTCAGAATACTTTTTGAACTTTCGTTCGCGGTACTGTTGCATGAGGATTGCATCCTTCTCGTGGAAGGATGTGTAAGTCTTCTCCAACATGCGTTCCTCCGAAACTTCTTCACCACACAACTTCAGGCGTGAGGTGATATTATGAAGTGCTGAGTTGTACTCAGCTACGGACTTAAAGTCCTGAAGTCGGAGGTTTTCCCACTCATAACGTGCACGTGGGAGGATCACATCTTTCTGATGTTTGTATCGGTCCTCAAGTGCAGTCCACAATTCCTTTGGGTCCTCTACAGTCAGGTATTCGGCCTTCAGGGTCCGATCAATATGTCTCCTGATGTAGATAATGGCTTTCGCCTTATCTATATCAGAGACGATCACTGTAGTAGCAACCTCAGTATTATTTACAGCATTACACATAACAGTGGCCGGAGCCGGTGGAGCAGGAGTTGAAATTGTGGCTAATAAGCCCTGAGCACGTAAGTGGAACTTCAGGTCCACATGCCAACTCAAATAATTCTTGCCAGCAGCGTCAAGGACTTCGAAATCAACACTCGCTATTTTAGCCATTTTATCTATGCATTTGAAAGACACAAATTAATAATAAGGAATTAAAAATTCATGCAATAAACATGTTGGTGGATCAGCCCGTCACCAAAAAATAAAAAGTGTCCAAAGTCCGATTATACAGTCCAAAGATAACAAAAAACATAAAATTAAAATACAATTTGGAAAACCCTTGGGGGTCCCTGCATTTTGCAAAAATGCCTTCGTCTTCAATGGAATACTCTGGTCTTTGACTTTTTACAATTATATCCTCACTACAATTTCTCTCTCAGAAGGAAAAAAAAATACAAGGAATTTAAATTTGGTGACAAACAGGCTGATCCAAAAACCACAACATTATTTATTTAAACATCCATGTAATTTAATAATAATATATGCAACAGGCATAACAAATTTGGATAGTAAACCCTTGCTTTCTTTGAATTTTTTTTCTAGACTTCTTTTTGTTTCTATGCGATACTGCCTACTTAATACTTTTAATATCATGTAGAAATTGTGAGTTTGAACTTGAAAATAACAAGTGATGATTAAAAAAATAATGCAAGTGCCCTGAATGGAAACTCTGAAACAACCAAGGGTTTAGCATTCCATTAGAAAAATGTATATGTGTTTAAAGAATAGCATTAAAAACTATAGGGGCCAAATATGATTTTATGTCATGTTAACTGGACATATACAATAATACCTTGGTGTTGGTGTTACTGTTTTCTTCTCAAGAATATGTAATTTAAGAGCATTTCCCTAGCAATGGTCACTTCCGTTAATACTAAGCAAAAACCAAATAATATTCATGGTAATAGGAAGTGCTATCAGCGTAAATGTGCAAATTTAACACAATATATGAATTTTTACAAACTAGCAGAAGCCGCAAAACTTCTCGCCAGTTTCATCAACATGAGCACATAATTTTTTTTTGATTAGCAATTAACTAATAGTATTAATTACTAGTTATGCCAACAAATAATGAAAGCAATTAGATTAGATGAACAACAATAAAACTGCTTAAAAAAAATCCCGAGTGAACAGTAACCCTCGGTGAACAGTAACAATTTTTTTCCTTGTTACTTTTTCAGCTGCCATATATTATTCTACGGATTATAGTAATTACCTCTAGATCACAGATCTAGGGACGATCGATACTAAAGATCCGTAGAACGCTGCCTCCTTGCGATGATCCGTCGACCGCTCCCGCTGCAACGAACCAGATCTCAATGCGCAAAAGAGGAAGGAAATATATTTTTTTATGGCTCAGGGATTCAAGAACACTTCGTGCTGATAACGTGTTTTAAGCAAGTACATAGGCCAAAGACCTATGATATATATTTATACTAATCAATGTGAATAGGTTGAGTACCCAAGAGTCACCCTCACTTAATGGGGTGTTACATCACCATAATAGGGTGTGAATGGAGGGATAATGAGGGGGAGGCCAAAGGCCTCCCTCATCTCATAATACAATTATTATTATTGCATGCTATTATTCCTCTTTGCTAATTGATTATGTAAAATTACCCTATATATCACTCATAAAGTAGGAGAGAGAGAGTGTGTGTGTGTGAGTTTGTGGGGATTTGTGTCTACTTTATGAGGATGGTGGGGATTGTGCCACATAGACGACAAGGAGGGAAATTCCCTCCTATGACAAGGATACTCATAAATCTTCCATATATATATATAGTATATATATATATAATATAGTATATATATATTATAATATATATATATATATATATATATATATATATATATATATATATATATATATAATATATATATATATATATATATTAATGGTGTCCTATGTCAAGGAGGGGAATTCTCCTTGATATCTATGCAGCAATCCCACCAACTACACACTCTCTCTCCTACTTTACGAAGATAGTGGAGATTACGCGCACATAGGCGTCAGGAGGGAAATCCCCTCCTTGACAAGGATACCCATTAATCTCATATATATATAAATATATATATATATATAGTATATATATATATATATATATATATTATATATATATATATATATATATATATAATATATATATATATATATAGTATATAATATAATAGTTGATTTTATGTCAACTTAAGTGGACACCAAGTCTTTGTCCACCAAAGTTTCTATCCACCCGCGGACTCAATTCAGACGAAAATTTGATTTGTACTACGCACCGCGGACTCAATTCAGATGAAAATTAAACCTAAATACTGGGCGCAAGTGGATTCATGCAGTCCATGCATCCATGTTCATGGACTTTCGCAACCCAACAAATAAAACCAACTTTGGAATTCTAAATTTACTACATGATTAGCTAATCCAGCCAGAGTAATTTTGCAAGTGAACTGTGTAGAGCTCCATTAGACGTGAGCTAGGGTCGAAGTAACAATGACGTACTATTTCAAAGCGGGTCCGCATCTGAAGAAAATCACGTGGCGGAGCTACTTAATTAATTCCAAATTGTTGCCCCTTTTTTTGGAAGTCCAATTAGTCCGAAGGAAGGACTCACACGCTAGTGAAAGAATCACACGATAGTGTGGACAATGAAGCGGGTAGCGCGGGTAACTAACCCCTCCCCTTGTCAGCAGTCATGATTGTATTTTTCACAAGAATTGTACCGGTAGACCAAACCAGATGATAGAGACAATCAAACTGGTGTTCTATCCTATTAAGTGGGCAGTTCTAACCCTTCGATCGGGAACGTAGGGGGACGAAATTGGGATGAGTTTGGAAATGCGAGGACGATTTCAGATTTCCATTTCATAGAGACTTGTATCCAACAGTCAACGGAAAATAACAATTCTACGTTCATCCTACAGACGATGTTCGTCTGATTTGCTGAGACGTGACCCTCGCGTTTCGTAGTAACGCATCTATTGATTGCCTCGTATTCAGGAGTTTACTGCATGCAGCAATAACTCTGATATTTAGAGCAATTTAATGCATTGATGTTACAATCGTAATTACCATTGTGAATTGTAACAGTCACATTAATTGAGAGTGACTCTTGAGCTGGTCTTAGAGGCCTATAAATAGCGCCCCTTGGGCAGCTCTTGTAGTTGTCTAGAGAACTTGGAATACAAACGTCTGATCAATGAGATCTTGACGTTGTTGCTGCTGTTGTGCTGTGTTTGGGTCAGAAATTGTTGTTTTTATTGTCATCGAATCTATTACAACTTCAGTCGTTACGATAAACTCAAATAAAAAAGTTGATCTTTTTATAAGATCTCCTTAAACAATAAAAATGAAATATTACAATTTCTTCAAACAACACACAATAGATGTTTATCGCCTATTGTTTACGTGGGAACTTTGCCTGTACCGGGGACGTTGATATCCGTGGACCGTTGCGGATCAGATTCGGTTGATAGATTGATAATCAAAGCTCCTACTTCACGAAGGAAGTATTCACAGAAGTGGTAATCCCGACCAAACGAGATTACGACTCTTCTCGGGATTAAGACCAAGCTTAAATTCGGAGGAATAGGGGGGGAAATAGGTCTCAGATCTCTCGAACTCTCTTTTTTTATCGAGGAACCTCGCCAAGATCTGCTAACCCTCTGAAATTCGTGCTCCACTCTCCAATTTGGCAGCACTTCGCCCTTTTTGATCTCCCCCTGTGAAATGAGCCTCTAGGCCTGTATTTATAGGCTTCAGTTGGGGCGTTTTCGGATAAGAACGATGGATTTGGCCTTATCCTTTGTTAACAACCGTGTAACCATGTTTAGAGACAACATCGAGATAGTTAGGAACTTCTGGAACAGAAGAAATCGTGTGAAAACTCATCAAAAATCGTCAAAACGTGTTTTCAGATTGAATCTGGCTGAACCGGGTGCAAAATGAACCGAACTGGTTCGGTTCAGGCGCGAACCACCATTTGGTGGCTCACGTCTTGCCGAAGCCACATTGCGTGGCTTGGCCCAATGGCCGAGCCACTGGCTGGCCGAGTCATTTTGATGCGACTCGGCCGCTAGGAGCTTTCTCGGTATGTTCGGTTTGGACTTGTTTCGTCCTTCTACGTGTATTCCATCGTTTTGGTGACTTGTACACTTCACCGATTCGGTCCATACATTTCGTGAACACGCAAGTCGCTTGACGATGACCGACGAGCGTGCAGGCCACTTGGTTTGCCGTTTCTGTGGCCGATGAGTGTGTGGGCCATTTGACGATGGTCGGTGAGTGCACGGCCCACTTGGTTCGCCTTTTTGGTGGCCGATGAGCATGTGTGCCACTTGGCGGTGGCCGGTGAGCATGTGGGCTACTTGGCGTTAGCTGATGAGTGCACGGGCCACATGGAGGTGACCGGTGAGCGCACGGGCCACTTGGTTTGCCGTTTCGGTAGCCGATGAGCGTATGGGCCACTTGGCAGTGGTCGGTGAGAACGCGGGCCACTTGGCGTTGACTGATGAGTGCGCGGGCCACATGGAGGTGACCGATGACCGCACAGGCCACTTGATTCACCGTTTTGCTTCATGCGCTTGTCGGCGTCAGATGATCCTCTTTGACTCGGATAATCCTCTTCGACTTGGATAATGACGTTCATCGTTTTCTCTTTGTCGCGAGCTATGTGTGGATACCTATAGGCATTTTTAGACACCTACATGCTGCAGCTGCAGGAACTGTGCCCGCAGGAACTTGCCCTGAAACCGAAAGGTTCTAAGATCGAGGAGATCTTTGCATTGACCGAAAGGTCTTATAGATCGAGGAGATCTTGACAGTACTGGGTTGGTGCACACCAGAGTACTATACTGCTGTTCCTGGAAGCAATTTGGTCTTGGGATCCTTGCACTAGAGTAGGCTAAATATTGCTTTAAGCATAACGTTTTACAAATACACAGCAGTGAACTGAAAAAGTTTAAAATTACAGCACATTAAAATTTCTCTGTTTCATTCCAAATTTAACCATAATTTCTAATAAACCCTTCGATCGAGAACGTAGGGGACAAACTGCCCCCCCCCCCCCCCCGGCTCGCCGCAACCTCCCCTAATTCGAGGGGGTTAGAACTAT